GCTGTTCTGAGTAGCACTTCAGTCAGATCCAGCACAGCATTACTTATGTTCCGAACACTTCCCACTCTTGCGCTCAGTCCTTCAGATGACAATCCTTCACTGTCCTCTGCTCTTGATTTTTACTATTTACTATTGATTCACTACATATTACACTGATATCCTGCCTTTTCCCTCATGCAAGGAACACTCGGTGGCTTGCATCCTCCTCCCCCTCCTCCATTTTATCCTCACAGCAACCCTGTGAAGAGGTTAGGCTGAGCCTGACCCAGAAACACCACTCAGAGAACTCCATTGCTGGGGAAGAGTAGAAGCAAGATCTCTCAAGTTGCAGTCCCACACTCTAACCACTACTCGTTTGTATGTGTGAAGAAAATATTACTATTTTGCTTTTCTCTTTCATTCTGCTCCCTTCCATTTTAAATTCTATAGCTCTCATCTTCCATTGTTTCCCTAGATCAGAACATCTTTTTTTCCTCTACCATATGCTTGGAAACTTACATTTCATACCCTTACCTTCATCCTAGCTCTACAGACCTTTCCATCTTAGCAAGAACAGAAGAAAAGTTCCTGAATTTGGCCTATAGAGGAGAGACAAGTTTTTAACAAATGCTTACTTTAGAAGCTTGTCAGGAGGAAAACTGCAGCAGCTTGCACATCACTACTTTTTTCCTCATTGGTCTAGACAAAAAGGCATTTGGATTATTATGCATGTATGTGTATGTTATATCATTACATAAGATAAGAGAGTGAGATATGACATTTACAAAAAGCTCTTCAGGCGTTTCTGTCACTGTGACACCTTAATCCAATATCTAACAATACATTTAAGTTGCTTCCAATTCACATCTGCATCTGAGCTGGTATTTTACCATGAAGGAACTATGCATTGCATAGATAATTGCAATAATTTCACTACCAAGGAGTTGCAATGTTGAACATGTGTTCCAGAGATGATGAATGTATTGAATACTTGTGGGTCAAAAAATTGCTATCCAATTGATCGCCCCAAAGTCAATCACAATAAGATTTAAAACACACACACATCCAATAGCAAAGATCAGTTAGGAAAGATATATTCTGTCTCCTCCTCCTCCTCCTCCTCCTCCTCCGTGGCTTTTCTTTCTGTGCTGAATTTAGTTGAATATTCTTGTTTCTAATTCCCATATCTTGTGAGAAGATTCCTGTTGAGGAACTCTGAGCTTTGATTAAGCTTTCTGATGTGCTTCCAGGCCTACCTGTAGGCTATAATACTTTGATAATGAATTACTTAAATCAATGACAGCATTTATATAGCTTCAGATGAGCTGATACTCAAAGGCTGACATACCACAGCTTCCTTAGAAATAGTCCATTTTTTTTTGTAACAAAAGACTATCAACAAGAATTCATTTAACTACAAGAGGAGAATCATTAGCACCATCTGTTAATATAATGGATTTTTTTAAAAAGAACATTATTTTAATTGATATTAGCTCATATTCTTCTCCTGACCACTCTGATTCAACCTGTACCATGTGTTTTCTTTCTTGATTGCAGTGCTTTTAACCATCCCATGAGAGACTATTCAATGGCATAAAAAATATCACTGTAGGGATATATGTTCCAAGAGCTGGTCTGCAATTTTCCACTTGTAATTCTATCCTATTACTTTCAGTTCATGGCTTTTGTATCAAGCAGTGTTTCTATTTTAGTGCATTGTTCTTTTCATATACATATCTCACTTCCTTGGAACTGCACTATCATATATAACTCATACATGTGAATTGATAGATTTGTTAAATTTATATCTTTTCCACCTAAGTGTCAGGCAATGCAAATACACAAATTAAAATTAATTATAATAAAATGCAAAATTGCAACGTAAGAACAAGACAGTTAAAACATCCATAAAATAGAAAAAAAAATAACCAACAAAAACCAATTACTGCCTATCTACAACTCCAAAGACCTGTTTAAATAAAAATGTCCTTGCCTGCTGACAGGAGGCTATTAGAAATGAGGGCCGAAATGTGGCTTGCCAGATTCTCTGCCACTACAAAAGCTTTCTCTTGCATTCCTACCACAACTGACTCAGACACTGGTATTTCAGAAAGAAGAATGGGCACCAAAACCAAAACACCCGGAGAGGTATGGCTTTCCCCTCTGCCGGTCTACTATTTTAAGTCAATGGTCTTGGGCATCTTGATCAACATAATAAGGTCAGGTGGTTTTTGTAGCCACAGGAGTTAGCAATTGAAGGCATTTTGTGGTGGAGAAGGTGAGGCAAATGCCTAGACTGAACACTCAGTCAGCTGACCCCAAATGCTGCTCCTTTCCCTTAAGTCTTCGGAAGCAGACTTCAGAACTTGCTCTTCAGTCTGAGCAGTGTATCTGTTGTGTGAGGACCCTGCCCAAGGAGGCATTTCTTTCTGACCTAAACAGCTTGACAGTGACTTCCCTCACCTTCCCTGGACATGTACCCTGACTGCCTGGACCATGATAGCCATTGGCATGAGGCCAAAATCTCAGAAAGATGCCTTTTTGTGATACCGACTCATGCAAGAGGACATCCGATTGAATCAATAGAGGTACATTGCCTTTCAGCAGAACCCATGCAAATGAACCTCGTTGATTCGAATGGTCCCTACAAATTAATCAACTGAAACATCAATGGATTCATTTATCATTTAAGCTAGTGAAAACCAACAGAACCCCAGCAGCTGTACTATGACCTCCAGTAGTGGAAGCCAAATAAGAATGATCATATTCTGTGAGGACCAATATGGACCACTAGCCAGTGTGGTGCTTTGGACCTGGAAGTTGGTATTATTCTGACAGTAAAATAGGTTGGGGCTAATAATAAACCATCCTGCTGGGAGAGTGCTGTGAAGATGAAAGGAAAATGAATTGTACATCACTTTGTACACTGAAAATATATGCAGGAATGATTAGTTACCTATTGCAGGAGATCTGGAAATGAATTTTTGAATGGCTGGAGTAATGTAAAAGGAAATACTGTTAGTGTGTTTAGAAACAAAATACATTGTTATGGTCTTTGTAAGGGAAGCCATGCGAATGCACATCCACACACATTTATATATAGTTCTAATTAAAATAAAATGAGTTTATTTACTTCTTCTGTAGACACTTTAATTGCATAGCAGCTTTAATTCTGTAATTTGAGGATGTACATTATTTCTTCAGCTGCTACTCTAAATGAAGCTGATTCAACATTTTCTGAGCCAAAGGGTGGTCTCCCACATTTTCCCCAAAACCACACTTCCTATTTGCAAGGGATGTGCCGGGCAGGGACAGACGCTGAGCTATTTGGCCCATGGTGAATGGAAATAAAACATGTGGAATACTAAGGAGGCCAAAGCCGCCTGAAACAACACTGGGAAAGGATGAAAGGCCATGATGTACACAGTCCGGGAGGTTGACCTTACAGATGCTACTAACACATGACGCACAGAAAAATCTTTATTGTGCTACTCCAGTAATGTATGATAGGATTGGAACAGAAATGCTGAGAGATTTCCCATGCAGTAAAATGCATTTCTTTGACCCTACCACCTCATTCTGTTTTAAATGTACCAAGGGGAAACGTGCAAGATTGTAAAATGCACAGGAGGGAAACACTGCATGGGTGAGAAATGGAGAAGGCAAATTTTATTAACAGTTCCATTATGTTCCCGTGGCCCTTTCACATTGCCGCATATAGCCTCAGGACTGAGATGTAGCCATCTGTTTGCCCACTACTAACATTTTATTTAATTTAAAACATTATCATGCTGTCTTCATCAAAATTGGTTCTGGGGCACTTCACATTGTTAAAAAGGAGTCTGCATGTGAAGTTCGACTCTTGGTGCCCCTTCTTACCAGCTGCTTTTGTTCAGGGTATAGGGAACCAAAATGCTCTATTTTATGATTACGTTTCTTTCTGGAGCGGGGAAGGGGCCCCTGCAAGGTTTTTCTGCAGTTTTCTTCTACCCTCTGGTGAGGGCAACATGTCCACTCTATGGTCTCCAGTCATAAAACCTACCTGGACAGAGTCACAAAGTATTCAGGCAAGGAACAGAGGGAATCAATCCAATGATTAATTAAAGCAGCAATAAGTATTCCCTAATCACTTGTTTAGATGGCTCAGTCATTACAACCAGCTTCCTACTTTTAGCAGTTATGAGAGATGATTGGATGGCGAAGGGGATGGGGAGGGCAGGCGCAACCTGCAAGACTTGAACTGCAGCCCTGACAAGCACAACGTCCCAAAGACGCCGACAACTTTCCCTCCTCCTCCTCCTCGTCCTCCGGCCACGGACTGTGGCGACGCAGGTGCGTGTCTCGACCCACCCGGACTGCAAAGGAGCGAACCATGCCGCGGCTGGGCTTCACTGCTCCCGCGGAGGACGGCAGGCGCGCGGGTGCGCGCGGAGCCTCCCCACGCCCTGCTTTGCAACTCCTGGCTCGCTCTGCGGCGCCTTCAGACACTCGCCGAGGTTGCTTTGTCCTTCGCACTGCCTCAGCACGTCGGGCAGTGAGCGCGCCCCCTCCCGCGATTGCCCACAGACGCGGCCCCCCGCCCGCCCCGGCCGCAACTGCCTTGCAGCGGGCGAGACGGGGCCGGGGCCAATCCGGCCGCGGCGCTGCCGCCTTCGTCCCCGCCCCCCGGCGCGCCAGCGCAAATGGGAAGCGAGGGGAGGCGGGCGCAGGCCGCCTCTCCCCTCCTCCCTAGTTAAGGCTTCGGTATGAGGCTGTAGCTCCGTGGCAAGGGGAGCGGCACTCGCGGGAGGCGCGGGAGCACAGGCGCGCGTCGCGGGGGGGGCGGGCGAGGAGCGCTGTCCAGGGTGCTGGAGCGGCGGCGCGAGGCTGTGCGGCGCCTGACGCCACGGGGTGCATGGGGAACTGAGCCATCCCGAGCGCAGCGGGGACGGGAGGAAGCGAGCCGTCGGAGCGCCAGCGACTGCCCTTCTCCCGCACCACCTTGGGCAGGCGAGCCGGTCCAAAGTGCAGCCGAACGGACTATGGAACAGGAGAAATATTTACCCGAGCTGATGGCAGAGAAAGATAGCTTGGATTCTTCCTTTGTTCATGCAATGCGCCTTTTGGCTGAAGGTAAGACTTCGCTTTGGGGGGTGGGGTTGGAAGGGGAAGCCCTCTAGTCCAGATTGCTTCTCTTGCTTCCTTTGCTGTGCTCTTAGGAAAGAACCGGCGGCTGCTGCTGCCGCTGCCTCCTCCGCTCTCGCCGTTACGTACAGTAATCGCGTACGCTGCCTCGGAGTAAACTGAGACGGTGAGGGCATAGAAACATACAGATTTACATCCCTCGTTGGGGTGGAGAGAGAACGAGCGAGGGCGAGAGGGAGCGAAGCTCTCGTTGATGTTATCTCAGATCTACATACAGGCAGAGGTTTGCTGAGGCAGGCGAGCTTGATAGGGCTAATCGTATTAGAGATTGCAGAGCGCGAGGAAGTCGGAAAGTGCAGGCGGAGAAGAGACTGAGTTGTGCCTTTTATTTTGCATCAGCCGACTGCCTCCGTCTTGACACAGTCCCCCGAAAGGAGGCATATCAGAAATCTTGGCTGGGGAAGCTGGATTTGGGCAGCATCTCTTTCCTCTTCTTCAGGCACAAGGTGAAGCTAGAGACGCTGACAGGTTTCTGTAGAAACACTAACAGGGTAGTTTGCGTTCATGTCAGGACTCCAGAAGAACCTTGACATCCATCCAGGCGGCAAAGAAATCAGCAACAATCAGGCATTTTGTGAAATGTATTAGACCTGGTCATGCTGATAAGAAAATGCTCACTTTTAATGATAGCAAATAGAAATGCTGTACAGTTCAGTCTTGGCATGGATTTTTGGACCTTCCCTACCTGCTGGCCATAGTTTATTCAGCATTTCCATTCCAGAACATAAGTGCAATATGCTTTCCACTTTTTAAAGCATAGCCATCATCATAGCCAGAACATTTACTGCATTTCCATAGGAATGATTTTTCTCACAAGGAATAAGCCTTTATTCCTTTACTTATTGCTTCTCCTTAACAAGGAATTCTTTCTTTACTAACTGAGCTGCTAAAGTCAGGTTTCTGTGCTTGGTAGAGTCCCTATGATCTTTAATTTCACTTACACAAAGACATTTATGACTCTCTTATTAAATCTGTTACATCTTTAAAAATCCATACTAGGCATTATTGGGGAAGAAAGATACCCATTTCAGTGTATATCCATCAACAATGCTTTCATTTTACTTTACTGCTAGTTCAGATTTGCTAACTTTGCCAATTGCTCTGTTGGATATCACCTTATTTTGCAATCATATGAATCTGCTCAGCAGGGAGCAATTGTGACTGACTACCTTGTGTTTACATAAGAATTACTGCATTATTCACTAAAAAGTTGTTGACCAGAACTTCGCAAGTTTGTATAATTGTTTAGCCGCATATTTACAAGATGTGTTGAAATGTCAGGCACAGAAACATGACCATCATAAAACTCCTCTTTCAACTTATTCCTTGGGTTTGAGTTCTACCATACCCACATACTACTGGTATAATCTACTTATATTTGTATAATTTAACTATATTCATTATTTGTATGTTATGATTGTTTTCTTTCCATATGATAAGATGATCTCAAATATGAAGGGATTTTGACAGGTACAGATCATTATGTTTTATAAAAGTGGGGATTAAAAGAAATTTGAGATAAGATTATTTGAATGCAAATAACTATACAGATATCTAGGAACCAACAGACAAATAATATGCTTGAGTTCCAACTTGGCTTTTTAAGTACAAAGAAGATTGTATTAGAACAGCTTAGCTGGTACTAAACACATCCCCTTAGCTAGGGAATCATCAGGTCTTCTCAAATAAAAGGTGTATTGATTTAGCAACCAGGTTTGTAACAAGTTTCTAGAAATGTTTCTCCAGCAGATCGTTTTAACACTTCTGTGTTAGAACGTAATTTTTTTCTCCAAAGAACATACAATTGTGTGTGTGTAATTTGCACTTTTCCCAGCAGGGGGAACTATCTACTGAGACACAATGTGAATCTGAAGATAAGTGAGGGGAAAAATAATAATACAAAATAAAACTATTTTCAAAACTTGAAATGAAGGAGTGTCCATGAAAATATACTCAAATTGAGCTTTTCTGGGAATACTAGAATTTAACTCTGAAAAACTCACAGGTCCTAGTAAACCCATATGAAGCTATCTCTGTCCTCCGTCCACACACACACCTTCAAGTGTATCTGCAGGTGAGCATATGTGAATATTAAAAAGAGACTAAGGTGAGCTGGCTGTGAAAGCTGGAGAGAATGCTAATGTGGGATTCACACCAGCTACCTGGCATTATCTTTCAAAACACCATCTGTCAAGGTTTCTGGAGCTGCATTTTAGATTCGTACCAAAAAAAAATAAAGAGAGTACTGATATGAAAACTTTCATTAAAGTGAGCATTCCTAGGGCAATGCAAGCTACATGTTGAGCATGAGCAAGGAGCATGTGGCTTTCTGGATGTTGGTGGACTTCAGCTTCCATCAACCATCGCCAATATAACCCATGATGAGGCATGCTGGGCATTGTAGTCCAACAACCTCAGGAGGGCCATGGATTTCCCACACCTGATGCAAAGTTACATTAAGTAGGATTGTGGCTTGTCTTTTGGAAGGCAAATAATGAATGTTATACTACTGTTCCTCCGAATGTCCTGTAAACAGAAGACTATGTCACAGGAGCAGTCCATTAGACTTTAAAAGGTCATCCCTTACTACAGCAGTAATACTGTCATTGACTAGTTGCTACTACTAAAGAAAAGAAAGCTATCATTTGTAGTTGTAACTTGGAAAGCCTTCATATTGGTAATGTATTTCAGTTAAGGGCATAGTGGAGGCCCTCTGTTTTTCAAGGACTAAAATTCACTTCCCCCTGAAAACAATGTGTCATGTCACTTGCTAATGTTTAGGGGTCAAAGTTAGAGAGACTTATGCAGAACACTTCAGTAGATGTGCAGCAAAACAAAACCTGGAAATAGAGTATGGATTTAAGATACCTGATTCAAATAGGACTTTCTGCATTTTGCTAAGACTTCTATAACTAAGACTATGTATATGTGTGTGCGTTCATGTGTGTAAAAATTTTCTTGCCCTAGTATGTATAATTTATTTTAATGCTTAATCATTCCCTTTTAAAATCATAATTTATCTTTTATTGAGGTAATGTCATTTAATCACATGTGCAAATAAGCAAACTGCAATGAACTTCATGTCCTTTTCAGTTATGGCAATGATAAAGAACCAATAAGAAAAACTTCAGAAGAAAGTTCAACATCAGTCATAATTTGAAAAGTTTGGAGCCGTCACTGGCTCAGACATAGGGCAGGTATACACTGAGCTAGTGCGTACAAGAAAGAATTAAGTTGGTGATCCTGTACAGTTTCTTGGGGCTGAGCTATGTTAATTTGTGCTCACTTGAATAGTTACATCCTCTTCAGATTATAACCAAAGCATATGGACCTGGTTTATGTTGAACTCAAAGGTGCTTTAAATGTACTTACAAGTAAGCATAGCTTTGTATGGAATGTTTCAGGGATTTCAGAGGAACAAGCATGCAGCCGAATCCCTCTGAGTTTATCCTTTGCACCAACACAACCAGTACCCGATTCTGTGTTCACAAAACCCAGTTAGGAAGAGTCCACTGTTTCAGCCCTGTAGGAATATCATGCTTAATCTTTAATATACACTTGAAAATCAGCATAAGTAGAAAAATATTCATAGCCTCTAAAATCTCTAGTCCTAAAAGAGAACTTCTCCATATTAATTGAGTCACATTATGCAGCTGCCTGTTATAGCAGGCAGAATAATTACTGGTCCTTTTAAGTTCATTGTTAACAGAATTAACTATACAATATTTTGCAGTTAACCTTTCTAACAGACAGGTAAGAGATCATAGTACATCATTCAACCAAGTAGTTTCCAGTAGCTATAAGGAGATTTAAGTACGCAGCAATAAGGATACTCAAACAGCTTCCTTTATGTGCCATATTTTATTATTATTGTAGCACTTAAGGCTACCAAACCAATTCTAAGTTCTCTTATGTGGGGCACTGTAGAGGCAAATAGAATGTAGTCACCAAGGATGAACAAGAGGGGGATCACTCTAAGAATGGAAAAATTGGTTTCATGACAGGTGAAACCATCTGCATGACTCACTGAAATCTGCAATCCTACTGTTTTCCTGTTTTAATTGCAAGTTATTTAATTCAAATTAATTTTTATTTTGGATCACAATTAAATTGGATTAGAGAATAAAACTGAAATGCAAGTAGGCAGATTCCAGGGCAGAGGAAAATAATCTGGACTCTCCACAGCCACTGATCTGTCCCAAATCAAATGTCTTGCTACTCAGGAGGAAAGGGCCCTGAAGAGCCAGGCCAGAACTTCTCATTGAGAAAACTGTCTCAGTGACCAATATCACTCTGAAAAGGAAGCTATGTTCTAGAATAAGCAAGATTCCATGGGAGCGGTATGATTCTTGGGGTGGTCCTTCTACCAAGTCTGTCTGGGACCTGGACAGCTCCCCACAGTCATCTTGAAGATCCTCCTCTCTGGGAACATCGCCATATCCAGTGCCTTGTCTGGCACAGCATGGGGGCTTCTGCCCAGGGAGGGCAAAATCCACTATCCCAGGCAACCAACACAACTGCAGAGACCTCCCTAAATTATAGCTTTGGGCATTGCAGCGAGCAGCATATGTCACCAGATCTCAATCTGGTAGACCACCTTGCGTTTTCTGGAAAAAAGGTAGGTTACAGTTATGATAAATACATCATTGAAAGGAGAAGCACAGTAACAAATAGTGAGATCTAGCAGTTAAAATCCCACATTACAAAAAAGAGGAACAGGGAGTAGTTCATGCTCCCTCCCTTCATTTTTCTGAGCTGCATCCGAAGCAGGTTGCGATGTGGATGCTCCCCATACAGGGATGTGGGTTTTTCTGATCTGGGAGGGAGCATGCCTCAGCGATATTCGTGTCTGCCCTTTGCACAAGACTCAGAAGTTGTGTGTGAGTACATCTTCCTGTGTCTCTTCTGTAGCATTTCTCAAGAAGTAT